CCTGGCAATAAAAATACGTAAGAAATGGGTAATAAACAGGTAGTGAGACCAAGTCTGGAACATCAGCACTTACCACAGCCAGAAGCACAAGCATCACACACCACAAAGATTTCATTGCTGGTTCTGCCAAACTGCCATAACTATCCCTTTTATTGTTGCTATGCAGATAATCATAGGGAGGCACTAGCACCACAAAGATGACTATGAACACCTGCTGCCATAACACCTGTGCAACAGGTGTGATGGGATTATTATTACAATCAAGGGGGAAGCGCTAAACCCGGAGGATTATACAGCGGGGTGTGATGGGAACAGGCACCTGTTTCACTGGGTTATCAAGAATAGGTATCCGCATTATTAATCATATAGATTATAATAATTATATTCATGGTTAAGCACTAAACAAGGAAGGGTCCTGAAGTGTCTGGGGAATAGGTTATATTTAGGCTTGATTCAAGGGGTGGTAACTAGTTCCTTTGATCAAGGCCCCCCCCCCCTTGAAAGAAGTGTTAGTACATTTTCTAATTAGCATCATGGGTCAACGGATGTCATCTGTGGTGAAAATCGTGAATGAATGTACAAGTTGGAAATGCTGTTGTTTATTTAGTACAATACTTTCAAGGTTTACTCTGGCACTAAATTGGGAATTATTGTAATTAGGGAGTGCTAAACCCATAGGAGTCATATAGCAAGGGGAAGGGGAAGACAGGCCTATTTCCTTGGATTAAGAGCCTCTCACTGGCATTAAAACACCTTCCCTGAGGGGATGGAAGAATAAAAAAGTTAATAATAAACACTAAGCCATAAGTGTGTGTGTGTAAACATGTTGGGGAACCAATGGGGGTTTGAATCCATGGCAAGCCAGTTCTAAAGCCAGCATAGCTGATTGGTGAGAATACTAGCTTATTAATTTTAGAACTGGCTTGTTATGGCTTCAGTTATTATAATCAAAACCAAGTATGTACTAAACCCAACAGGATCATACAGTGTTGTGCTATGGCTTCAAGCCGTGCCCATGTCCAGAGTCAAGACAACACTTAATCAGAACTCATCAGAACAGCAAAAGTGACATACGAGGGATAATTAAGGAAAACATACATGTGGCCAGTTTTGAGCTATTTTACTCTCTAAACCCTACTTGATGTTGTTAACCAGGCCATTGCTGCTAGTAGCCCAAAGGCCTACATACAGTGAAGAGGCAGATATATCTAAAGCTAAGGGTGACTTACACAGAATAATGCTTAGATAATCTTCAGCATTAGTGTTAAATGTTTGTGTGATACCATTCATTTTCTTTTCCTTTTAACACTGGCCATCTCCCACTGAGGCAGTGACCTGAAAAAGAAACTATTACCATAATTTGCTCTATCACTCTTGCCAGAGGCTCACAGATACTTAAGTTCAGATGCCCTGCCAGACTACAAATATCTCCACCCCTCCTTCAGAGCACAGGCACTGTACTTCCCACCTCCAGGACTCAAGTCTGGCTATCCAGTTTCCCTGAATCCCTTCACGAAATATTACATTGTGAACTCCATCATTATTATTATAATTATAATCAAGGGGGAATGCTAAACCAATAGGATTATGCAGCACCTGTTGGGGGGAATGTGGAAGATATTCAGGCTTAATTCAGGAAACTGGAGCACAGATCAAATTCCCTAGATCAAGAGCCCTTCACCAACATCAAGGAACCTTCCTTGATTATTATAATAAAAAAGAAGCGCTAAACCGGAACCTTCCTTGAGGGGTTGTGAGCTCCAACAACTTTTTTTTTCTATCCCCTTTCATTTTGTTAAACCCACTAGCATAATATAGTGTAGATCAGTAAGTACTGATGTGTAGGTTTCAGCTTGTTCTTTAGTTACCATCAAAATTTTTCTGATGGCTTATTTTAGTGAACAACAAAGGGTCCAAATCTGACTACTGTGGAACACTGCTTGTGAAACATCCCCATTCTTTGTCTCCCCATTTATGCAAACTCTGTTGCCTATCTCTCAACCACACCTCAACCCAGGAAAAAATTTCCCCTACTATTCCGCATGCCTCTACTTTCCTCAACAATCTCCTGTGTGATGATGTGGCAAGTCACAGAAGCATTTTGAGCACTACATATTTTCACATTATATTCATAGGGAATCGGCGCTGTATGGCCCTTGTCGGTTTAGTACTTTCTTTGATTATAATAATATTCATAGTGAAGCATTAAACCTATAGGGGTCATACCACTTTGGTAATAGAGCATTCAGATTCAAATCAAGGAAGAGAAACACACGTCAAATTCCTTAGATCAACAGGCCCCCCCCCCCCCCACCCTCAAGGGGACTTATATTCAGAGAAAGCACTAAACCTTTGTTGATTATTCAGTATTGCATAATAAAGCAGTATTGATATCAAGAGAGCATGAGTGTGCAGGTCAAGAACATGGTCAAATGAAAACTGTCATAAAAGTCTCAGTTTAAAAGTCAAAGTGGAGGTTTTAATTCTTCAAGGTGAGACTGTCTGGAGAGAAAAGTAGAAGCATGTCAGGGATGTTGAATTCAACAGAGGCCAAAAATAAAGTACACATGCTTTGATGAAATTATAGTATGTACTATACTTTGTTGCACGATCAGTGCCATCAATTGTAGCACTACCCTTAGTCAAGAATACTTGATGAAAAACCAATGACAGTGTAATTAGGGAGTGCTAAACCCATAGGAGTCATATAGCAAGGGGAAGGGGAAGACAGGCCTATTTCCTTGGATTAAGAGCCTCTCACTGGCATTAAAACACCCTCCATGAGGGGATGGAAGAATAAAAAAGTTAATAATAAACACTAAGCCATAAGTGTGTGTGTGTAAACATGTTGGGAAAGGAAGCTCATACCAGCAACTGCAAGCTTGGTGACAATTCTTAAAGCATTGGCATCATCCATGAACCACTTCTTGCAACAGGCAAGCAGAGGTCACATAGGCAGGAAGTATCCCAGACAAACCTTCAAGTAAAACATAGATGACACCCAAGTGCACGAAGGACAATCAGACCTGTAACTAAAGTACAATTTAGCCACACTGATAAAGATGCAAGGAAATATAGATTAGAGCAATATTTTGAAGACAATGGCATCAAATACCAAATTTATCAAACATCAAACACCGAATTTATTGTCAAGGCAATTTTGTAGGATTTCAGGACTTACAGCAACTTGACCCCATCTGCACAAATCTCAGGAACAGCTGTACATACTTCACATAACCCTTGTGGCCTCAAGATCTAAATAAAAAAAAAACATTAACCACATTTTTTTTTCCTCTGAGGTTCAAACTTTTAACACTATAATTTCACCCAACTGAACCCTTTACTCAGATCGTTGCAGTTGTACAATTTTTTTTATTAATACATTGGCCAATTTCCACCAAGGCAGGGTGGCCCGAAAAAGAAAAACTTTCAAATCATCCATTCTAAATAAAGTGAAGAAATCAAACCTCTTCTTTTCATCACTCCTCTCATATCTACCAAGATATCTTCAAACCACTACACAAAAAAATCCCCATGTTATCCACCTTTCCATGCCCTGAAGGGGGATTTTCCCCATATTAGATAGCAGGGGTCTGCACGTATTGTGTCATGTTCTCGTGTGTAATAAGACTGATATTTTTAACATATGTCAAACTCAAATAGTGAAACAAGTAATACACCTGGATTTATAACTGAATACCAGGAACTATCACCTCCACTCCTAAAAGGTCTCCACTCCTAAAAGGTAAGTCCAAATCTAATTTGATGCTACTTTGTTTTATATGATGAATGAAGACATACATCATCACATCACTTTAATTTGAAGTAGACCTCTCATCACTTGATCACTCATCTCATACATAGCAAGATATCGTCATCACTCGCCAAAATATTTCTTTTTCATTCGCAGACATCCACTACACACAAGACAGGAAGCTTGCAAGAAGCTATATGAGGGGGGGGGGGACGATTTTTTGGCACCAATTGTAATTTGACTTCACAAGAGATCACGACAATACATGCAGACCCCCACTACTCATCACCTTTCACTCCATCACTGTCTTGCCAGAGGCATGCTTACACTAGTTATAAAACTGCAACATTAACACCCCTCCTTCAGAGTGCAGGCACTGTACTTCCCATCTCCAGGAATTAAGTCTGGCCTGCCGGTTTCCCCAAATCCCTTCATAAATGTTACTTTGCTCACGCTACATCAGCACGTCAAGTCCTAAAAACCATTCACTCCTAACACGCTCATGCATCCTTGCTGGAAGTCCAAGCCCCTCACATACAGAACCTCCTTTATCCCCTTCCTCCATTATTATAATCAAAAGAAGTGCTAAACCACAAGGGCTATACAGCACCCCATCCCTCCAACCTCTCCTGGGCCAACCCCATACACCGCCTTCCCTCTACTACAGATTTATACACTCTGGAAGTCATTCTATTTTGTTCCACCCTCTCTACATGTCCAAACCACCTCAACAACCCCTCTAGATAATAGTTTTGGTAATCCCACACCTCCTAATCTCCAAACTACAGAATGGATTCTCTGCATTATATTCACACCACACATTTCCCTCAGACACATCTCCACTGCCTCCAGCCTTCTCCTTGTTGCAACATTCACCACCCATGCTTCACACCCATATAAGAGCGTTGGTATAACTATACTCTCATATATTCCTCTCTCTGCTTCCATGGATAAAGTTGTTTCTAGACACTCCTCAATGCACCACTGAGGAGTGTCTTACTTCATCTATATATATATAATGAACAACCATGGTGACATCACACATCCTCAAGGCCAACATTTACTGGGAAATACTCTCCCTCTCTCCTGCATACTCTAACCTGAGCCTCACTATCCTCATAAAAACTTGTATACAAATAATCCACAAACAACAAAGCTAATGTCTGCAGATCAGAATTTACCTAACATTTCTGTAATGCACACATTTTTTTTTTAAGAGAGTACCTAGGAAGCAAGTCAAATTCAGTTTTCTAAATAATGGGCTTTATTGGCTTATTTAGATTTTTCAGAGGACTTTGATTCACGCAAAGAAGAACGGCGACGTCGGATCTCCTCTTGCCTCTTTTCCTTAGCCTCCTTCTGTCTCATGGCCAGAAGTTTGGCATAATCGGCTTTCTCCTCCTTGTTTTTGACAGCTCGCTGGCGTTTAAGGGCCTTCTTATGTCTCTTACGCTGAAAAACAAATGCACATAAAAGATATACAAACAAGAATAATTAATTTACTTGTATTAAAAACTTTATGGGACTTAAAGAGTCCCGGAGATAATAAGTACAGTGCCTGAACTCTGAACGAGGGATAGGAATACTGCAGTTTGGATGGGCCTCAGAACTACAGTATGCCAGTAAAACAATAGCTTTGCAATGCTGTTCCCTAAGCAATCATGTACTGGTCTACAGAATATGTATTTCTAGCAAAAAATATTTAATAATACCAAGACAAATAATTCAATTAAATTTCCATTCACTACTAGCCAAAAAAACAAAGCCACACTACAATGACTGCAACAATTTACTATCAGCCTGCAATTTGGAGGGACATGTTTAAACCATATTTCTGTCCATCCTGTAACACACAAGTCAAAACTGTGCAGGAAAATGGGAGAAAACCAGAAGACAGGTCAGGTGAAGATGCTTTTAAATGAGGGAAGTCAAGATGAGACTAAAATTTAATGGGCTCTGAAAATTAAGAGCATTTCACAGTGTACTGGGAAAGGCAGGCATTAACAGAAACAAAACCAGGACTAAGATTCATGTTAGGAATGCTGTGTAAAAGGGAGGCTTCAAAATAGCATTGGCTCACGTTTCTGACAAGACCTAAAACACCCACCACATGTTCACCTTAGTGACACAACAAACACTTTTTAGCTAACCAGACTGATCCACTGACAAATTATTACATTCATCCCACTTCTAACCCTCACAGATACCATTTGTCTCATCAATTATGCCCAACATTCCTAGCATGAATCTAAGTTCTAGTTTGTACAAGAATGGTACACAATACCGACAAGTTCTAGTTTGTACAAGAATGGTACACAATACCGACAAGTTCTAGTTTGCTTCTGTTCTTTCTTGTCTTTCCTAGTAAACATCTATTAAACTCCTCTAAATGGTGAATTTTTTTGTAAATGTAATTCAAACAATACACCCAAAATGGAATAGAACAGAGGAAAGAGCTTCACAGTATATGCTATTCAGTTTTAATTGCACCTTCAATTGTATTTACATAAAAAAAAATTGCCATATATGTAGCATTGTAAGAGATCTGAACATTGTCATGTGTCCTGCCTTTCAAAACACACCTTGGCCTTGTCTTCATCTTTTCACCTAGCCTGTCTCTAATCTCTTTAACTGGCCTATCTTCTGACTTGCTCCCATTTTTTCTTGGCTGACTTAAAGATTTCAAGACTTCTAAACAACAGGTAATGTTCCCCCTCCAATTTATAGGCTAATGAGAAATATTTCAGCAATAGCAATGTGACAGTCTTCAACAGTTTCTTTATACGTACAGCACCCTGCTCACTCACCTGAAGAACAACTGGAGTAATGAGCCTCTGGATCTTGGGAGCCTTAGTCCTGGGCTTCTTGCCATCCTTGCTGCTCAGTGGACGCTTGATCACATATTGGCGCACATCATCCTGCTTGCTTAAGTTGAACAACTTCCTGATCTTGGAAGCTCGCTTTGGTCCCAGGCGACGAGGAACTGAGCTATCAGTAAGCCCAGGAATCTCCTACAAGAAACAGTGTCAATTCGGACCACAGATAGTAAAGATAATACAACTCAATTCATATTAGAGGTAGTAAGGAGAAAGCAGCTCAATTAAGCCAAGGGGTGTGCCAAAGTACGCATCAGTATCTGTGGATATCGGCCAATTTTGGTGGTATTGATAACAGCTTAAAACTGAATATCAAAATTGGCAGTAGAGGCATAAAACTTGGTATTGTCTCATCCCTAATAAGACTACAGGTCTTATTAGTTATTAAGGAGAAAGGAGCTCAATTCAGATTACTGTAAGGAGAATGCAGCTCAATTTCAATCATGAAAATGCTTCTCAATTCCTATCATAAGTAATGCATGGAAATATTGCATAATTCAGATCAAAGAACAAAAATGGCAGATAAGAGGAAAATAATTGCAAAATTTATAAAAAATTGGCAAGATGAGTGCACCAATATTTTAAGAGATCTCAACTCACTCAGATAAGCTGTGAACTGAAACTTTTGTGCCTAGACATGAGAATGCATCTATGCAGTAAGTGTGTACCATATAAAAAAATCCTGCCCTTCCATAGTACATGAGTTGGAAAAAAAAAATGACTGTTTTTGGTTTAAAATAGTTAAAGTAGCAAATTTGTGGTGTATTTTCATTTGCTTTTTTATATCCAGATTCTCGGTTTCTTAATCTCATTTGATAGAATGAAAGATTACAGAAATAAAGATGATTTTGATTGGTTTCAGGACTAAAAGTACCTTGCAATAATGACATATATAGCTGGATGACTTTTACCAAAGATCACACATAAAAAGTTGGTAGTTACAACTGAACACACTTAACACTAACCCCTTCACCCTTCTTGACAATAACCAGGGCAAGCACAGACAAGTTTGCATCCACAATACAACCACGGACTGACTTCCTCTTGCGCTCTCCAGTTCTGCGGGGACGATAGCAAGAATGACCCTTTGAAAGCAAGAGCCGGACACGATCTGTATAAAAAGAAAAATCGGTTAACTTCTTTTGACCACATAAGCCATCTTCCACCAAGGTAGGGTGACCCTCCCAAAATAATGACAACATAATCACACTCAACAGATGTCACAATCGTAATGACTTGCTGGACTGTAACATCCCCACCCCTCCTGCTTCCCACCTTAAGGACCCAAGTCTGGCTATATTGGTTTCAGTCCCTCAGCCTTTTTTTTTTTTTTAAGTAATACATGTACTCATAAAAATACTACCATAGGCTGGGTGTATTAACCCCAATGATTAACTAACCACAGAATTTTGTTGAAAGTGTACTTAGTGCATTTCCCATATCTCTTCTTTCTGGGCGCACACTAATTATGAATGTTACTATTAACCCAATTGAGAAACATGACCAAAACAATTGAAAAAGGTTGAACCAACAATGGGATTATTATGAACATGGTCTCGTCTAAAGTTCAACCTCAGTAGTACTTTCAGTTAAGACTCGCACGTGTGACCAGTGTGCTAATTTTACATATTGCTTATGGATGGAATCTGTTGTTGTTGCTGCTACTTGGTATGTTTACGAGAGTGGAGTGTTGATATCTTAACAAGGAAAAAAACTAAATACTGTACCATACTACAAATATAAACAGCCCTGCCATTTTCAGGTTAGCCAAACTGCACTCAGAGAACATTATCATTAATGCTGCAAAAATTAAGTAGTACATACAAGTTACAACAGAATTCTTAGTCAATTTACAGGACAACCCAACACATGGCCCCACGAAGCCACTATCTTCTCTTTGAGAAACCACACATTTAATATCAATTGCTATTTTTAATGCTTACTGTTTGTAAGGACACCCTGCTTCATGGGAAAACCTTGCTTGTCGTTGCCACCAGCGATACGCATCACGTAGCCCTTCCACTCCTCACCTAAGGAGTCCGCCTCAACTTCTTGGCCCATACGCCTCTCATTGAAGATGCGTACTTTTTTCTCATCATCAAACTCAAAGAGCTTCTGACACCCCGTAGCGGGGTACGAAATGTTTAACTGAAAAATTTAATCTCATTAGTATGTAAGCTATAACAAAGAAATTAATTCACAAAATAAAATTAGGACAAATTCTATGTGATATACTCCATCAGATATTTAACACTCGACTACCACATTACTGATGGGATACAACACTAACAAATTGACGTTTAGGTCGTGTGGAATGCTTGGGTATCTTCAAGCTTGAAGGACTAACCACCACCTACCAAGAGTGACTGATCACATCAATACTACTACTGCCTCCAGTGTTGTACTACATTCACTTGTATTTGAATAAAGCCCACCGTGCAGGCGAAACATTTAGGCAAAGACACCTCAGTGTTGTACACGTGTTTTATTCATCAACAAGAACTGCACTTAAAACTCAAAGTGGTCAGGCCATTTAACCTCCCTTTCCTAGCTTCCTGTCTATCCATAACTTGTTATTGCTCTATCCTACCTCAGTCTTCCCCTACCCATTTTTGCCATCAATCTTATGGCATAAATAAAAAATATTAATTCTCCTTGAAAGTAATAAGAGCTAGGGATCCTTAACCTTGTCAAACCCTGTGTAAAAAAAAAAAATCATTTTTAGGGGATGGGAAATTTTTTTATCTCTCGACCATTGATTCTAAAATCTCTTACACCTACTTAATACACGAGACTGGTATTAAACCTATAGAACGCTATTAAAAGAATCTTTAGTTTATTAAATAGTGTGCCATACATCCTACTCTATGATTTCCAGCATATTTATGTTCATTCTGTAATACAGTGACCAGAACTGCACAACACACTTTATACGAAGCCTTACCAATGATGTACAAAGTTGAGGAAAATAACCCGAAGACTCCTGTTATTTATACTTCTTGAAACCAGGAATTTTATTAGCTTTATTAAGAATGTTTATGCACTGTTGTCTCAGCTTTAGATTACGGTTAACCAAAACTCTTAAATCTTTTTTTGCATTTAGTGATTGAAATCTACATTAAGTACCATGGTTAGTCTCTTCTCCCAGGCTTAGAACTTTACATTTGTCTACATTAAACTTCATCTGCCATGTCTCTGACCACTGAATCAACCTATGCAGATCTTATGTATTAAAATAGTATACAATACTGACAGGTTGGTAAGTAAGACATGCAACAGTTAGGCATCTTTACTGGTGAAACGTTTTTCCTACACAGTAGGCTTCTTCAGTCGAGGACATATCTACTGCAAAGGCAGTAGTGGTGTGAAGACAATGTGATCAGTCTATCCCTCTTGAAGACGTAGTTTTGAGGTGGTCAGTCCCTCAGCATGGAAAAAAAGCTTTTTTGTTCCATAGTCTGAGAGGCACCTGACTTCACAATGATTACATTCTTTCTTTTACTAGCGGACTATAGCTCACCTGACAGTATGAGTCGCCATACTGTCACTTCAACTTCAGATTGTTTCCGACTACAGAACAAAAACTCTTCTCTAGGTAGAGGGACTGACCACCTCAAAACTACATCATGAAGGGTGATGGAGTGATTACATCGTCTTCACATCTCTACTGCTTTTGCAAACTTCTCTGTACTTGACTGAAGAAGCCTACTATGTAGGTGAAACATTTCAAAATAACGATACCTAACTGTTGCACTAAACGTCCTTGTCAGAATTACTCCGACTGCCTGTTTTTAGTGTCATCAGCAAATTTGCTTGTCGATATTCATTTCATCTATGTCGTTGATGTATATTGTGAACGACAAAAGGCCCAACACTGACCCCTGTAGAATACCACTTGTGATACATCCCCAATCTGATTTCTCCCCATTTATGGAAATAAGTCATTGACTTTTTGGGGTTATCCTCGAAGGTTATCTACACATATGCTGCTACATATGATATTTTATGTAACTTTATGTAAACCTGTACCTGAATAAACTTACTACATAAACTCTGTTGCTGACTGAATTCTATTAAAGGCCTTACTGAAGTCCTTATACACTATCATATTCATTACAACAACCTACCTCAAATACCTTAGTGAAAAAAGTTAGTAAATTTGTAAGGCAGGAACGCCCTTTCATAAAAACCACGATGAAATTTACCAATAAATCTACGTCTTCCATGGTGGCTGTGAATAACCTCGACAATTATCGATTCCATCAATTTTCCCACAATGAAGGTTAATTGGTTCATAACTCAAACCTGTCTCCCACTTCCTAAACAGGTATAATCAAGACAATTGTTACATTCAGCAGAGCACAGTACTGATGACTGGGGCAACAAGTGGGTACAAAAATAATGTGGAACGTTGCCACAATAAAACACCGCATTAATTGTGCGTGTGTCCTTTTATCTTATTATATAGTGTGTCAGTGTTAACTAAGTCTGTAATAACTGTATCAGGCACTGACAAATATATTTATTATGATTTGCAGAAATATTTATTACTTAAAAATATTCATTATTAGAAATATTATTACTTAGAAATATTCATTATTAGAAATATTATTACTTAGAAATATTCATTACTAGAAATATTATTACTTAGAAATATTCATTATTAGAAATATTATTACTTAGGAATATTCATTATTAGAAATATTATTACTTAGAAATATTCATTATTAGAAATATTATTACTTAGAAATATTTATTACTTGCAGAAATAATTATTACTTTCAGAAGTAAATTATTTGAAAAAAATTACTTGGAAATAAATATTTATTTATATTAATCGTTATTATTATTATTATTATTAAGGTTCAACATTATATTCAAGGGGAAGCGCTAAACCCGGTCACAGCTTCTGGGGTGATGGGATGCCATCTGATTAGATTAAAAGACAAATCCAGTCCCCTGGATCAAGAACCCCTCACCGGGGTCAAGGCACCTTCCTCCAGGAGTGGAAAAACAACCCAAAATATAAAAAAAAATGGAAAATAATGAAATGTTTACACGGCGAGACTCGCATGGTGACCCACACGGTGTAAACACTCCATCATTTTCACCTCCTCACCGCTTATTTACCCTCCTACATCACCTTTCCTGCCTCTCTACAGCACCACAGCGCCTTTATGCACCAATATGCGCCATTGTAGTGTTCGCAGATACAGAAAATAACGAGAAATAAGGGTGAAAAGTGCACCTTCATGTCAACAGCCGCCCTCCACGCCACGTGACCCGCGAGAAAGATCTCGTTATTTGCGAGATGCTGCCCATACACCTTGTGCCTTTATTTAACCTCAAATATCCATCTTACTACGATAAAAAATACATTTTAAGATACATAAATAAATACATTGTAATTTATTTGCATCGTTTTTTATCCTACCATGTCCTGTATTAACAAACTCATGTACAATTCTTAAAAAAAATATTTGGAATTTTATATATGTTGTTTCAACCTTCACATCTTCATATTATAATAACTAATATGGTTTAATAACTTTCTGCATATTTATTTACAAAATTAAATCCTCAACTACAAATTATAATCATTAAAAGAACACATTTATATAAATGTATTACCCATAAATTATCTACATCTGCTGATTTTGAAGAAAAAATAAATAAATACAATAAAATAAAATATATGTTTTAGTTCATTATACAAAGAATTTACGGTAGTTAAATTTGCATATTATCTGGCTACAATTTAGAAATACAGTACTAATAAAAATTGATAAAGATGTATTTTTCCTTTATTTTGAAAAAAATCCAGCCAAAATAATGCTATAAATTACTAAATTCTTAATTATAATCCCCTCAAGGAAGGTTCCTTGATGTTGGTGAGGGGCTCTTGATTTAGGGAATTGGATCTGTGCTCCAGTTCCCCGAATTAAGCCTGAATGCCTTCCACATCCCCCCCCCCCAGGCGCTGTATAATCCTCCGGGTTTAGCGCTTCCCCCTTGATTATAATAATAATAATAATAATAATAATAATAATAATCTTAATTATAATGCTCGCATATAATTTTACGCATTATGTATCAGTACAGCATGATTAAGTCAACCCAGTCGTAAGGTGGGACAGGAGCTGTGACTCAACCCTCTCCACCACACCTTACCCGGAGAGAGAGTTCCGGGGGTCAACGCCTCCGCGGCCCGGTCTGTGACCAGGCCTCCTGGTGGATCAGAGCCTGATCAACCAGGCTGTTGCTGCTGGCTGCACGCAATCCAACGTACGAGCCACAGCCGGGTTGGTCAGGCACCGACTTTAGATGCTTGTCCAGTGCCAGCTTGAAGACAGCCAAGTGTCTATTGGTAATCCCCCTTATGTATGCTGGGAGGCAGTTGAACAGTCTTGGGCCCCTGACACTACAACTTATAAATAATCCCATTAAAATAGATTTTCTTCTGGTTTATAATGTGTATTTTATGCAGCAGTTGAATTAATGTGTTTACTATGAATTAAGAAAATTTACAATCACTTATATGTGGTATTTTAACATTTATGAGATGATTGATGTGTTTTTATAACATTTCTGTGATGTTTAATGTTTTTTAACATTAATGTTTTCAGGTTAGATTAAGTTAAGTTAGGTTAGGTTAAGTTAAGTTAGGTTAGGTTAAGTTAAGTTAGGTTAGGTTAAGTTAAGTTAGGTTAGGTTAAGTTAGGTTAGGTTAGGTTAGGTTAGGGTAGGTTAGGTTAGGTTAGGTTAGGTTAGGTTAGGTTAGGTTAAGTTAAGTTAGGTTAGGTTAGGTTAAGTTAGGTTAGGTTAGGTTACGTTAGGTTAAGTTAAGTTAGGTTAGGTTAGGTTAGGTTAAGTTAGGTTAGGTTAGGTTAGGTTAGGTTAGGTTAAGTTAGGTTAGGTTAGGTTAAGTAAGTTAGGTTAGGTTAAGTTAGGTTAGGTTAGGTTAGGTTAGGTTAAGTTAGGTTAGGTTAGGTTAGGTTAAGTTAGGTTAGGTTAGGTTAAGTTAGGTTAGGTTAGGTTAGGTTAGGTTAAGTTAGGTTAGGTTAGGTTAGGTTAGGTTAAGTTAGGTTAGGTTAGGTTAAGTAAGTTAGGTTAGGTTAAGTTAGGTTAGGTTAGGTTAGGTTAAGTTAGGTTAGGTTAGGTTAGGTTAGGTTAAGTTAGGTTAGGTTAGGTTAAGTTAGGTTAGGTTAGGTTAGGTTAAGTTAGGTTAGGTTAAGTTAGGTTAGGTTAGGTTAAGTTAGGTTAAGTTAGGTTAGGTTAAGTTAGGTTAGGTTAAGTTAGGTAAGGTTAGGTTAGGTTAGGGTAGTTGTTAAGTTAGGTTAGGTTAAGTTAGGGTAGGTTAGGTTAAGTTAGGTTAGGTTAAGTTAGGTTAGGTTAGGTTAAGTTAGGTTAGGTTAAGTTAGGTTAGGTTAGGTTAAGTTAGGTTAGGTTAAGTTAGGTTAGGTTAAGTTAGGTTAGGTTAAGTTTAGGTAAGGTTAGGTAGGTTAGGCTAGTTGTTAAGTTAGGTTAGGTTAGGTTAAGTTAGGGTAGGTTAGGTTAAGTTAGGTTAGGTTAAGTTAGGTTAGGTTAGGTTAAGTTAGGTTAGGTTAAGTTAGGTAAGGTTAGGTTAGTTAGGCTAGTTTTTAAGTTAGGTTAGGTTAGGTTAGGTAGGTAAGGTTAGGTTAGGTTAAGTTAGGTTAGGTTAGGTTAGGTTAGGCTAGTTGTTAAGTTAGGTTAGGTTAAGTTAGGGTAGGTAAGGTTAGGTTAGGTTAAGTTAGGTTAGGTTAGGTTAAGTTAGGGTAGGTAATGTTGGGTTAAGTTTGGTTAGGTTAGGTTAGGTCAGGTCACGCTTGGTTAGGTCAGATCACGCTTGGTTAGGACAGGTCACGCTTGGCTAGGCCAGGTTAGGCTAGGTTAGATTCGGTTATGTCAGGTTAGGTTATGCTAGTTTCATCTAGGCTTCTAGGTTGGGTTAAGTTAGGTAACGTTTGTCAGGAAACAGGACACATGTTTCCTGACTCTGGTCTTAGTCACATGATGGCCCACAACTGGAGCGTTTGGTCATCTGTCCGAATTCTAAGTTGAGATTCATTCACGACGTTGTACACAGTGTACGTCAGGCCCATACTGGAGTATGCAGCACCAGTCTGGAACCCACACCTGGTCAATCACCAAGAAATTAGAGAAAGTGCAAAGGTTTCCAACAAGACTAGTCCCAGAGTTAAGGGATATGTCTTATGAGGAGAGGTTAAGGGAACTCACCGTGATGACACTAGAGGACAGGAGGGATAGGTGGGACATGATAACGACGTATAAAGTACTGAGTGGAATTGACAAGGTGGATAGGGCTAGAATTAGAGATGTATCGGATATCCTCATCCGCAAAACATCCGCACAATTTCTTACATCCGTATCCGCAGCCGCATTTTACTGTAAACAGATATCCGCATATGCATCCGCATCCGCAAAATAAGTAAGACATCCTCATACACATCCGCGTCCACGGATATACAAGGGGTCACAACTGGAGAATGAAAACTCAGATAAGTCATAGGGATGTTAGGAAGTATTTCTTTAGCCTTAGAGTTGTCAGGAAGTGGAACAATCTGAAGAGTGATGTAGTGAAGGCAGGAACCATACATAACTTTAAGAAGAGGTATGATAAAACTCATGGATGAGGGAGTGACCTAGTAGCGACCAGCGAAGAGGCGGGGCCAGGAGTTGTGATTCGACCCCTGCAACCACATATAGGTAAGTACATAGGTCAAGTGTTTATCTATTGACAAGTATCTTTGACAACTAGCAACTACTTACCCCCTCAAAGAAGGTTCCTTCATGTTGGTGAGGGGCTCTTGATTTAGGGAATTGGATCTGTGCTCCAGTTCCCCGAATTAAGCCTGAATGCCTTCCCCCCCCCCCAGGCGCTGAATAATCCTCCGGGTTTAGCGCTTCCCCCTTGATTATAATAATAATAATAATCCAGTGACTTACATTCATAGACATACACTTCTCTAGTGACTTACACTGACAGACACACTCCTCCAGTGACTTACACTGCTAGACACACTCCTCCAGTGACTTACACTGATAGACGCACTCCTCCAGTGACTTACACTGATAGACACACTCCTCCAGTGACATACACTGATAGACACACTCCTCCAGTGGCTTACACTGCTAGACACACTCCTCCAGTGACTTACACTGATAGACACACTCCTCCAGTGACTTACACTGATAGGCACACTCCTCCAGTGACTTACACTGATAGACACACTCCTCCAGTGACTTACACTGATAGACGCACTCCTCCAGTGACTTACACTGATAGACACACTCCTCCAGTGACTTACACTGATAGATACACTCCTCCAGTGACTTACACTGATAGACGCACTCCTCCAGTGACTTACACTGATAGACGCACTCCTCCAGTGACTTACACTGATAGACACACTCCTCCAGTGACTTACACTGCTAGACACACTCCTCCAGTGACTTACACTGATAGACACTCCTCCAGTGACTTACACTGATAGATACACTCCTCCAGTGACTTACACTGATAGACACACTCCTCCAGTGACTTACACTGATAGACACACTCCTCCAGTGACTTACACTGATAGACGCACTCCTCCAGTGACTTACACTGATAGACACACTCCTCCAGTGACTTACACTGATAGACGCACTCCTCCAGTGACTTACACTGATGGACACTCCTCCAGCGATTTACACTGATAGACACACTCCTCCAGTGACATACACTGATAGACACACTCCTCCAGTGACTTACACTGCTAGACACATTCCTCCAGTGGCTTACACTGCTAGACACACTCCTCCAGTGACTTACACTGATAGACACACTCCTCCAGTGACTTACACTGATAGGCACACTCCTCCAGTGACTTACACTGATAGACACACTCCTCCAGTGACTTACACTGATAGATACACTCCTCCAGTGACTTACACTGATAGACACACTCCTCCAATGACTTACACTGATAGACACACTCCTCCAGTGACTTACACTGATAGACGCACTCCTCCAGTGACTTACACTGATAGACACACTCCTCCAGTGACTTACACTGATAGATACACTCCTCCAGTGACTTACACTGATAGACACACTCCTCCAGTGACTTACACTGATAGACGCACTCCTCCAGTGACTTACACTGATAGACACACTCCTCCAGTGACTTACACTGATAGATACACTCCTCCAGTGACTTACACTGATAGACACACTCCTCCAGTGACTTACACTGATAGACACACTCCTCCAGTGACTTACACTGATAGACACACTCCTCCAGTGACTTACACTGATAGACACACTCCTCCAGTGACTTACACTGATAGACACACTCCTCCAGTGACTTACACTGATAGACACTCCTCCAGTGACTTACAATGATAGACACTCCTCCAGTGACTTACACTGATAGACACACTCCTCCAGTGACTTACACTGATAGACACACTCCTCCAGTGACTTACACTGATTGACACACTCCTCCAGTGACTTACACTGATAGACACACTCCTCCAGTGACTTACACTGATAGATACACTCCTCCAGTGACTTACATTGATAGACACTCCTCCAGTGACTTACAGTGATAGACACTCCTCCAGTGACTTACATTGATAGACACACTCCTCCAGTGACTTACACTGATAGACACACTCCTCCAGCAACTTACACTGATAGACACACTCCTCCAGTGACTTACACTGATAGACACACTCCTCCAGTGACTTACATTGATAGACACTCCTCCAGTGACTTACACTGATAGACACACTCCTCCAGTGACTTACACTGCTAGACACACTCCTCCAGTGACTTACACTGCTAGACACACTCCTCCAGTGACTTACACTGCTAGACACACTCCTCCAGTGACTTACACTGCTAGACACACTCCTCCAGTGACTTACACTGCTAGACACACTCCTCCAGTGACTTACACTGATAGACACACTCCTCCAGCAACTTACACTGCTAGACACACTCCTCCAGTGACTTACACTGCTAGACACACTCCTCCAGTGACTTACACTGATAGACACACTCCTCCAGCAACTTACACTGCTAGACACACTCCTCCAGTGACTTACACTGATAGACGCACTCCTCCAGTGACTTACACTGCTAGACACACTCCTCCAGTGACTTACACTGATAGACACACTCCTCCAGTGACTTACACTGATAGATACACTCCTCTAGTGACTTACACTGATAGATACACTCCTCCAGTGACTTACACTGCTAGACACACTCCTCCAGTGACTTACACTGCTAGACACACTCCTCCAGTGACTTACACTACTAGGTATATATTCATCTGTATAGGTATACATGAGTGAGTGTATATTCCCTGGTCCAGGATGTAAGGTAACTTGTTGAAAGATAGGCAATAAGTAGTAATCATAAGGGTCATTGTTAATGTTATAATGGGTCAATTTGAGCTTTACGACGCATCAATGCGTCACTACAACACTGCTTGCCTATTTTGAGAAGTTCTCGCTGGCGGACGTAAGATGAATACCGATAACAATAACGAATTTACAATAATGTTTACATTCTTTTACGACCATCACTTAGCTAATATACTCCATGTTAATGTCTGAGTATATCATGTGAGGAGGGAAGGATATACATGAATAAATTGGTTTACTGCGGAGGTATATACGTTGCCGGGATGCTATGTGGAAAGTGTCGTACAGGAATGTGGGAGTATCTATAGTGAGTTAGAAGTAGATAAACGTGTTTAAGTTTTCTCTATAAAACTATCTCCCAGTGGTATAGATAAAGATATCTTCGTGATATAGTTATTATAGATCAACCGTGAATGTATCCTTGTGGAGTGTGTCATGTGATTTTGGGGAATTATTTATATATATTATATTTATGTCCAAAAATATGAGAATAAGACCACAGGATCTTAGTGGAAATAATTTACGTTGTTTAACTTGTGAATTATTACCTTAAATTATATATAATTTAACATTGTTAAAAGTTCCGAATTACCATAAAATCATTGTAAAAGTTCCAGATAATATACGAGGCTTCAATAATACATTATTAAGGTCACAAGTCAATGAAAAATAAAAAAAAATATTACAAAAGTGGTTATCATTGTAGAAATTATAGAAAAAATATATATATTGTAGCACTAACAAGACAACTACATTATTACTGCCAGTACAAATATCTTCACTAAAAAAAACGAAATTTCAATCTTTATTTATCTGTGGTTTATATAATTATAATAATATATATATATATATATATATATATATATATATATATATATAATATATATATATATATATCAATAAGTTGGCCGTCTCCCACCGAGGCAGGGTGACCCAAAAAAGAAAGAAAATCCCCAAAAAGAAAATACTTTCATCATCATTCAACACTTTCACCACACTCACACATTATCACTGTTTTTGCAGAGGTGCTCAGAATACAACAGTCTAGAAGCATACACATATAAAGATACACAACATATCCCTCCAAACTGCCAATATCCCAAACCCTCCTTTAAAGTGCAGGCATTGTACTTCCCATTTCCAGGACTCAAGTCCGACTATATGAAAATAACCGGTTTCCCTGAATCCCTTCACCAAGCCCCTCGCCCACAAAACCTCCTTTACCCCCTCTTTCCAACCCTTTCGAGGACGACCCCTACCCCTCTTTCCTTCCCCTATAGATTTATATGCTTTCCATGTCATTCTACTTTGATCCATTCTCTCTAAATGACCAAACCACCTCAACAACCCCTCTTCTGCCCTCTGACTAATGCTTTATTAACTCCACACCTCCTAATTTCCACACTCCGAATTTTCTGCATAATATTTACACCACACATTGCCCTTAAACAGGACATCTCCACTGCCTCCAACCGTCTCCTCGCTGCTGCATTTACCACCCAAGCTTCACATCCATATAAGAGTGTTGGTACTACTATACTTTCATACATTCCCTTCTTTGCCTCCTAGATAACGTTTTTTGACTCCACATATACCTCAACGCACCACTCACCTTTTTTCCCTCATCAATTCTATGATTAACCTCATCCTTCATAAATCCATCCGCCGACACGTCAACTCCCAAGTATCTGAAAACATTCACTTCTTCCATACTCCTCCTCCCCAATTTGATACCCAATTTTTCTTTATCTAAATCATTTGATACCCTCATCACCTTACTCTTTTCTATGTTCACTTTCAACTTTTACCTTTACACACATTCTCAAACTCATCCACTAACCTTTGCAATTTTTCTTTAGAATCTCCATAAGCACAGTATCATCAGCAAAAAGTAACTGTGTCAATTCCATTTTGAATTTGATTCCCCATAATTTAATCCCACCCTCTCCCGAACACCCTAGCATTTACTTCTTTTACAACCCCATCTATAAATATATTAAACAACCATGGTGACATTACACATCCCTGTCTAAGACCTACTTTTACCGGGAAGTAGTCTCCCTCTCTTCTACACACCCTAACCTGAGCCTCACTATCCTCATAAAAGCTCTTTACAGCATTTAGTAACTTACCACCTATTCCATAAACTTGCAACATCTGCCACATTGCTCCTCTATCCACTCTATCATATGCCTTTTCTAAATCCATAAATGCAATAAAAACTTCCCTACGTTTATCTAAATACTGTTCACATATATGCTTCAATGTAAACACTTGATCTACACATCCCCTACCCACTCTGAAGCCTCCTTGCTCATCCGCAATCCTACATTCTGTCTTACCTCTAATTCTTTCAATTATAACTCTACCATATACTTTTCCTGGTATACTCAGTAAACTTATTCCTCTATAATTTTTACAATCTCTTTTGTCCCCCTTACCTTTATATAAAGGGACTATACATGCTCTCCGCCAATCCCTAGGTACCTTCCCCTCTTTCATACATTTATTAAACAAAAGTACCAACCACTCCAACACTATATCCCCCCTGCTTTTAACATTTCTGTCATGATCCCATCAGTTCCAGCTGCTTTACCCCCTTTCATTCTACGTAATGCCTCACGTACCTCCACCACACTTACATTCTGCTCTTCTTCACTCCTAAAAGATGGTATACCTCCCTGGCCAGTGCATGAAATTACCGCCTCCCTTTCTTCCTCAACATTTAAAAGTTCCTCAAAATATTCTCGCCATCTACCTAATACCTCCCTCTCCCCATCTACTAACTCCCCTACTCTGTTTTTAACGGACAAATCCATACTTTCCCTAGGCTTTCTTAACTTGTTTAACTCCAAAATTTTTTCTTATTTTCATTAAAATTTCTTGACAGTGCCTCTCCCACTCTTTCATCTGCTCTCCTTTTGCACTCTCTCACCACTCTCTTCACCTTTCTTTTACTCTCCATATACTCTGCTCTTCTTATAAATACACTTCTGCTTTGTAAAAACCTCTCGTAAGCTACCTTTTTCTCTTTTATCACACCCTTTACTTCATCATTCCACCAATCACTCCTCTTTCCTCCTGCCCCCACCCTCCTATAACCACAAACTTCTGCCCCACATTCTAATACTGCATTTTTAAAACTATTCCAACCCTCTTCAACCCCCTCCCACTACTCATCTTTGCACTAGCCCACCTTTCTGCCAATAGTCGCTTATATCTCGCCCGAACTTCCTCCTCCCTTAGTTTATACACTTTCACCTCCCTCTTACTTGTTGTTGCCACCTTCCTCTTTTCCCATCTACCTCTTACTCTAACCGTAGCTACAACTAAATAATGATCCGATATATCAGTTGCCCCTCTATAAACATGTACATCCTGGAGCCTACCCATCAACCTTTTATCCACCAATACATAATCTAATAAACTACTTTCATTACGTGCTACATCATACCTTGTATATTTATTTATCCTCTTTTTCATAAAATATGTATTACTTATTACCAAATTTCTTTCTACACATAGCTCAATTAAAGGCTCCCCATTTACATTTACCCCTGGCACCCCAAATTTACCTACTACTCCCTCCATAACATTTTTACCCACTTTAGCATTGAAATCCCCAACCACCATTACTCTCACACTTGATTCAAAACTCCCCACGCATTCACTCAACATTTCCCAGAATCTCTCTCTCTCTCCTCTACACTTCTCTCTTCTCCAGGTGCATATACGCTTACTATAACCCACTTTTCACATCCAATCTTTATTTTACTCCACATAATCCTTGAATTTATGCATTTGTAGTCCCTCTTTTCCTGCCATAGCTTATCCTTCAACATTATTGCTACTCCTTCTTTAGCTCTAACTCTATTTGAAACCCCTGACCTAATCCCATTTATTCCTCTCCACTGAAACTCTCCCACCCCCTTCAGCTTTGTTTCACTTAAAGCCAGGACATCCAGCTTCTTCTCATTCATAACATCCACAATCATCTCTTTCTTATCATTTGCACAACATCCACGCACATTCAGACTTCCCACTTTGACAATTTTCTTCTTATTATTTTTTTTTAGTAATCTTTACAGGAAAAGGGGTTACTAGCCCATTGTTCCCGGCATTTTAGTTGACTTTTACAGCACGCATGGCTTACGGAGGAAAGATTCTTATTCCACTTCCCCATGGATATAAAAGGAAAAGTAATAAGACCAAGAACTATTAAGATAAAATCAAAGAAAACTCAGATGAGTGTGTATAAATAAACATGTACATGTATGTGTAGTGTGACCTAAGTGTAAGTAGAAGCAGCAAGACGTACCTGTAATCTTGCATGTTTATGAGACAGACAAAAGACACCAGCAATCCTACCATCATGTAAAACAATTACAGGCTTTCGTTTTACACTCACTTGGCAGGACGGTAGTACCTCCCTGGGTGGTTGCTGTCTACCAACCTATATATATATATATATATATATATATATATATATATATATATATATATATATATATATATAATATATATATATATATATATTATATATTATATATTATATATAAGTATGTATTTTTATGTATATAAATTCAATATGATTTTTTGTATATAAATGTATATTTGTGTTCATATTTTTGCACATATATATATATATATATATTATATATATATATATATATATATATATAATATAATATATTATGATTTTTTATGTATATAAATGTATATTTATGTATATGAATTTATATATATATATATGTATGATTTTCAATGTATATAAGTGTATATTTGATAATTTAATAGTAGAGTGTGACTGAGTGGGTATGTTAGTTGAATATAAATGTAATATTTCTTATTTCCAGTTGATTATCAGTTATTTATCAGCATAAATAGCCAGCGATGTTGCCACTAAGATCCTGTAACTCAAATTTTTATTATCGTGGGAGAGCGTTTAAACCGTAGGGGTCATACGGGGCTTAGGTATGTTGTATAGGTTAGTTGTGTGACCTTCAAATGACGTGTGACTCAAGACTGTCAGTCTTGTTTGTCAGTCTTGTGACTGTCAGTCTTGTTTGTCAGTCTTGTGTTTGTCAGTCTTGTGTTTGTCAGTCTTGTGTTTGTCAGTCTTGTGTTTGTCAGTCTTGTGACTGTCAGTCTTGTGACTGTCAGTCTTGTGACTGTCAGTCTTGTGACTGTCAGTCTTGTGACTGTCAGTCTTGTGTTTGTCAGTCTTGTAACTGTCAGTCTTGTGACTGTCAGTCTTGTGTTTGTCAGTCTTGTGTTTGTCAGTCTTGTGTTTGCCAGTCTTGTGACTCAGTTTTGTGACTGTCAGTCTTGTGTTTGCCAGTCTTGTGACTGTCAGTCTTGTGTTTGTCAGTCTTGTGTTTGTCAGTCTTGTGACTGTCAGTCTTGTGACTGTCAAGTCTTGTGTTTGTCAGTCTTGTGTTTGTCAGTCTTGTGACTGTCAGTCTTGTGTTTGTCAGTCTTGTGTTTGTCAGTCTTGTGTTTGTCAGTCTTGTGTTTGCCAGTCTTGTGACTGTCAGTCTTGTGTTTGTCAGTCTTGTGTTTGCCAGTCTTGTGACTGTCAGTTTTGTGACTGTCAGTCTTGTGTTTGCCAGTCTTGTGACTGTCAGTCTTGTGACTATCAGTCTTATGTTTGTCAGTTTTGTGACTGTCAGTCTCATGTTTGTCAGTGTTGTGTTTGTCAGTGTTGTGTTTGTCAGTGTTGTGTTTGTCAGTCTTGTGTTTGCCAGTCTTGTGACTGTCAGTCTTGTGACTGTCAGTCTTGTGTTTGTCAGTCTTGTGTTTGTCAGTCTTGTGACTGTCAGTCTTGTGACTGTCAGTCTTGTGTTTGTCAGTCTTGTGTTTGTCAGTCTTGTGACTGTGAGTCTTGTGTTTGCCAGTCTTGTGACTGTCAGTCTTGTGACTGTCAGGCTTGTGTTTGTCAGTCTTGTGTTTGTCAGTCTTGTGACTGTCAGTCTTGTGTTTGTCAGTCTTGTGTTTGTCAGTCTTGTGACTGTCAGTCTTGTGTTTGTCAGTCTTGTGTTTGTCAGTCTTGTGTTTGTCAGTCTTGTGTTTGTCAGTCTTGTGTTTGTCAGTCTTGTGTTTGTCAGTCTTGTGACTGTCAGTCTTGTGACTGTCAGTCTTGTGTTTGTCAGTCTTGTGACTGTCAGTCTTGTGTTTGTCAGTCTTATGACTGTCAGTCTTGTGTTTGTCAGTCTTGTGTTTGTCAGTCTTTTGACTGTCAGTCTTGTGTTTGACAGTCTTGTGACTGTCAGTCTTGTGACTGTCAGTCTTTTTTTTTTTTTTTTTTTTTTTACACAGGGTTTGACAAGGTTAAGGATCCCTAGCTTTATTGACAGCTATTTATGGGTTAAGGATTCCTAACTTTATTGGCAAGCTAAGAGCTGTTACCTACATCAGCTCATTTGAAAGCATTTTTATTGTTATGAGACATACAAGTAGGGAACAGGATGAAGTTGGAGCCATCTGTGGGCCAGCATTTTCATTTGATCAACTGACTTTATCTCGTTGACATCATTATGCTGTACGAATGTGTTCCATACTCGAGTCATCCTGGGTATATATGATCTCAGATGGAGTGATGTTCTGGAGAAGGGTACAGCCAGAGTGAAGTTACTGATTTCTTCCCGTCTTGTGGCATAAAAGCTTGTTTCACGCTGTCCTCGAAGTGGATCCAAGTGTGGTATTTTGACAATATTGGCCTTGTACATAACAGTAAGGCCACCCACATCCCTCCTATGTTGAAGGCTCTGCTGAAATGACAGATCTATGCAGGATGGGTCCAGGCGAGAGATGAGACGTCTTGCTCTGTTCTCTACTCTGTCAAGCAGTCGCAGATGAGAGGGGGGGCAGGCAAACCAAGAAAGTGGAGCATACTCAAGGTGTGAGCGTACTTGTGCCTCGTACAGGATCTTGCAACCCCTACTGTCAAGCAGATGTGAGATACGGCGAAGTGCTGTAAGCTTCCTGGCTGCCTTGTTTGCAAGATTTACAACATGGTTCTTCATGGTTAGTTTGGAGTCAAATTTCACCCCAAGGATATCAACTTCTTCTCCAGGTGCCAACATCCTCCCATTCATCCTTGTCAGTCTTGTGTTTGTCAGTCTTGTGACTGTCAGTCTTGTGTTTGTCTGTCTTGTGTTTGTCAGTCTTGTGTTTGTCAGTCTTGTGACTGTCAGTCTTGTGTTTGTCAGTCTTGTGTTTGTCAGTCTTGTGACTGTCAGTCTTGTGTTTGTCAGTCTTGTGACTGTCAGTCTTGTGTTTGTCAGTCTTGTGTTTGTCAGTCTTGTGTTTGTCAGTCTTGTGACTGTCAGTCTTGTGACTGTCAGTCTTGTGTTTGTCAGTCTTGTGACTGTCAATCTTGTGTTTGTTAGTCTTGTGACTGTCAGTCTTGTGTTTGTCAGTCTTGTGTTTGTCAGTCTTGTGTTTGTCAGTCTTGTGACTGTCAGTCTTGTGTTTGTCAGTCTTGTGACTGTCAGTCTTGTGACTGTTAGCCTTGTGTTTGTCAGTCTTGTGTTTGTCAGTCTTGTGACTGTCAGTCTTGTGACTGTCAGTCTTGTGTTTGTCAGTCTTGTGACTGTCAGTCTTGTGTTTGTCAGTCTGTGTTTGTCAGTCTTGTGTTTGTCAGTCTTGTGACTGTCAGTTTTGTGACTGTCAGTCTTATGTTTGTCAGTCTTGTTTTTGTCAGCCTTGTGACTGTCAGTCTTGTGTTTGTCAGTCTTGTGACTGTCAGTCTTGTGTTTGCCAGTCTTGTGACTGTCAGTCTTGTGTTTGCCAGTCTTGTGGCTGTCAGTCTTGTGACTGTCAGTCTTGTGACTGTCAGTCTTGTGACTGTCAGTCTTATGTTTGTCAGTCTTGTGGCTGTCAGTCTTGTGACTGTCAGTCTTGTGACCGTCAGTCTTGTGACTGTCAGTCTTATGTTTGTCAGTCTTGTGTTTGTCAGTCTTGTGACTGTCAGTCTTGTGTTTGTCAGTCTTGTGACTGTCAGTCTTGTGTTTGTCAGTCTTGTGACTGTCAGTCTTGTGTTTGTCAGTCTTGTGACTGTCAGTCTTATGTTTGTCAGTCTTGTGACTGTCAGTCTTGTGTTTGTCAATCTTGTGACTGTCAATCTTGTGTTTGTCAGTCTTGTGACTGTCAGTCTTATGTTTGTCAGTCTTGTGACTGTCAGTCTTGTGACTGTCAGTCTTATGTTTGTCAGTCTTGTGTTTGTCAGTCTTGTGACTGTCAGTCTTATGTTTGTCAGTCTTGTGACTGTCAGTCTTGTGACTGTCAGTCTTGTGACTGCCGATCTTGTGACTGTCGATCTTGCGACTGTCGGTCTTGTGACTGTCAGTCTTGTGTTTGTCAGTCTTGTTTTTGTCAGTCTTGTGACTGTCAGTCTTGTGTTTGTCAGTCTTGTGACTGTCAGTCTTGTGACTGTCAGTCTTGTGTTTGTCAGTCTTGTGACTGTCAGTCTTATGTTTGTCAGTCTTGTGTTTGTCAGTCTTGTGACTGTCAGTCTTGTGTTTGTCAGTCTTGTGACTGTCAGTCTTATGTTTGTCAGTCTTGAGACTGTCAGTCTTGTGATTGTCAGTCTTGTGACTGTCAGTCTTGTGACTGCCGATCTTGTGACTGTCGATCTTGCGACTGTCGGTCTTGTGACTGTCGGTCTTGTGACTGTCGATCTTGCGACTGTCGGTCTTGTGACTATCGATCTTGTGACTGTCGGTCTTGTGACTATTTATCTTGTGACTGTCGGTCTTGTGGCTGTCGGTCTTGTAACTATCGATCTTGTGACTGTCGGTCTTGTGACTGTCGGTCTTGTAACTATCTATCTTGTGACTGTCAGTCTTGTGACTGTCGGTCTTGTGACGGTCGGTCTTGTGACTGTCGGTCTTGTGACTGTCGGTCTTGTGACTGTCGGTCTTGTGACTGTCGGTCTTGTAACTATCGATCTTGTGACTGTCGGTCTTGTGACTGTCGGTCTTGTAACTATCTATCTTGTGACTGTCAGTCTTGTGACTGTCGGTCTTGTGACGGTCGGTCTTGTGACGGTAGGTCTTGTGACTGTCGGTCTTGTGACTGTCGGTCTTGTGACTATCGATCTTGTGACTGTCAGTTTTGTTGCTGTCAGTCGATCTTATGACTGTCAATCTTGTTTCTGTCAGTCAGTCTTGTGACCGTCAGTTTTGTTGCTGTCAGTCGGTCTTGTGACTGTCAGTCTTGTTGCTGTCAGTCGGTCTTGTGACTGTCAGTCTTGTTTCTGTCAGTCGGTCTTGTGACTGTCAATCTTGTTTCTGTCAGTCGTTCTTGTGACTGTCAGTCTTGTTTCTGTCAGTCGGTCTTGTGACTGTCAGTCTTGTTTCTGTCAGTCGGTCTTGTGACTGTCAGTCTTGTTTCTGTCAGTCGGTCTTGTGACTGTCAGTCTTGTTTCTGTCAGTCGGTCTTGTGACTGTCAATCTTGTTTCTGTCAGTCGGTCTTGTGACTGTCAGTCTTGTTTCTATCCTCTAAACTGGAGTTTTCCAGCAGACACCAGAATGTCACTAAACAGACATAATTTAATATATGTTGTAATCTGTATAAAATTTACACTACATTAAGTCTCCTTACAGAGTTTTGTAACCCAATGGGGTTTTTAACTTCAGAGGGTTAGTAATCCAGGATCACCCATGAGAACCAGTGTGGTCTAATTGGTGGTCATTAGGTCATTTCCCGGGATGCAACCCACAATAATTAGCCAATAACCAGGTACCTATTTAATGCTAGGTGAACAGAGGCAATAGGTGCAAGGAGACTTACTCATACGTCTCTCTCCGTGCCCGGAAATGACCCCAGGTTCTTTCAGTTGTGACCCTGATGTTGGTGAGGGGCTCTTGATTTAGGGAATTGGATCTGTGCTCCAGTTCCCTGAATTAAGCCTGAATGCCTTCCACATCCCCCCCCCCAGGCGCTGTATAATCCTCCGGGTTTAGCGCTCCCCCCTTGATTATAAAAATAATAATCTTGCAGTTGTGACTCGAATGCTCCACCACTAAGCTGCAACGATACTCGCACATTTATATAAAATATATATATATATATATATATATATATATATATATATATATATATATATATATATATATATATATATATATATATTATATATATATATATATATATATATATATATATATAGTGTACAGGTGTTAATTGCATCCTTAATGATCTTTTAGTCGATAGGCTTCAAACTTAGAGTTAGTTAAAAACTAAGGTAAATTATTTAGGCACATGTATACATAAGTATAATTATCATACATAGGTCTTATTTCACTCATTGCTGAGCAATATCTGACAGCATTTCAACACATACAATAGTAACAACTGCTATGGAAGTATGTTAAAAATTCCAGCCCTGTTGGATTCATACTGAAGCTTAAGCGCAGTGTCAGCATGTGAGGAAATTCCAGACCTGCATGATTACGTAGGAGTCATGCAACGCTTGGGGTGGTATAGGCAATTTGATTTGATTCGCTTAAGGGAGGGGTAGCTATAGTTCCCCGGGTTAAAAGCGTTGAACTTCGAGATTCCTCCTCGATGTTGGGTCACCTTAACGCGGTGGTGAGGTTTGAATGGTTTGTGTCTGTGTCACTTGTGTGCCACTCTCCCCACAGTGTGCCACTTCCTCACAGTGTGCCACTCTCCCCACAGTGCCACTTCCCACAGTGTGCCACTCTCCCCACAGTGCTACTTCCCACAGTGTGCCACTCTCCCCACAGTGCCACTTCCCACAGTGTGCCACTTCCTCACAGTGTGCCACTCTCCCCACAGTGCCACTTCCCACAGTGTGCCACTCTCCCCACAGTGCCACTTCCCACAGTGTGCCACTCTCCCCACAGTGCCACTTCCCACAGTGTGCCACTCTCCCCACAGTGCCACTTCCCACAGTGTGCCACTCTCCCCACAGTGCCACTTCCCACAGTGTGCCACTCCCCACAGTGCCACTTCCCACAGTGTGCCACTCTCCCCACAGTGCCACTTCCCACAGTGTGCCACTCTCCCCACAGTGCCACTTCCCACAGTGTGCCACTCTCCCCACAATGCCACTTCCCACAGTGTGCCACTCTCCCCACAATGCCACTTCCCACAGTGTGTCACTCTCCCCACATTGCCACTTCACACAGTGTGCCACTCTCCCCACAGTGCCACTTCCCACAGTGTGGCACTCCCCCAGGTTGCCATTCTCCCCATACGGTGCTATTCTCCCCACAGAGGGCTTGCATAATAATCCAGCATTTTATTCTCGGCATAAATAGTGGGGATATTTCCCCCTTTGTTTAAATCTGCTGACACGGTTGATGGCACCGAACGAATTATGGTTATGGATTATGGGTTATGAAAAGTATTACTCGCCTTGTGATCATGGTTTACGTAACACGAATGAACTGAACCTATTAGAATTTGATAATGTTAGAACCGGAATGTATTTAGGCGCTGATTGGTTAATTATATTTGAGGGTAATGGACTACCTGTACACCACCAGTCAAACATACTTTAATTCCCAAAATAGAGATTAAAGTAAGCTCAATATATATAGTATACATTGATTATTGCTGAGTAAAAATGTTAACGTACGATGCCGTTTATTGAATTAAATAAATTAATAAGGTTTAGGCACGATAACTCGTCATAATTAACTGGTATGGGTTATACATGATGATTATGCACAATTTCAATAGAAATATGATTTATTTTCAAAACAGTTTTTTCTCTTGTTTAACAATTCGCCGGATTATAAAAATAGCTAAAGTCCCCCCCCCCAAAAAAAAAAAATCGGATAATAAAAAAAAATGTGTGGAGTTGTTTGTAATGTTGAAAATGGTATATAACAATGACAAGTTGAAGATTAAGCCACATGTGCAAGAGATAGATATATTTATTGTTGAAACGTTTCGCCTACGTAGTAGGCTTCTTCAGTTATTTACCGAGACAGCAGGTGTTGTAGCAAAGATGATGTAATCAGTGTATTGGCCTTGGAGACATAGTATTTGAGGTGGTCAGTCCCTCAGCCTGGAGATGTTTTCGTCTCCATTGTCTGCTTTATGAGGTTTTCTAAGAAGCGAAAACATTCTGGGAAGGTAAATAGCGAAGCGTTACATGCATGTATGTAGTGTTTGTCCGTGTTGAGGAACTAACGTCAGCTGTGACTGTAGTGTAAGGTACACACCTCTCAGTGTTTGTGCTTCTGAGATATACACACCTCTCGGTGTGTGTGCTTCTGAGATATACACTCCTCTCAGTGTATGTACACTGAAATATACACACCTCTGTGTATGTACATCTGAGATATACACACCTCAATGTATGTGCTTCTGAGATATACACTCCTCTCAGTGTATGTACACTGATATACACACCTCTCAGTGTATGTGCTTCTGAGATATACACTCCTCTCAGTGTATGTACACTGATATACACACCTCTCAGTGTATGTGCTTCTGAGATATACACACCTCTGTGTATGTACATCTGAGATATACACACCTCTGTGTATGTGCATCTGAGATATACACACCTCTCAGTGTATGTGCTTCTGAGATATACACACCTCTGTGTATGTGCATCTGAGATATACACACCTCTGTGTATGTACATCTGAGATATACACACCTCTGTGTATGTGCATCTGAGATATACACACCTCTCAGTGTATGTGCTTCTGAGATATACACACCTCTGTGTATGTACATCTGAGATATACACTCCTCTCAGTGTATGTACACTGATATACACACCTCTCAGTGTATGTACATCTGAGATATACACACCTCTCGGTGTATGTACATCTGAGATATACACACCTCTCAGTGTATGTACATCTGAGATATACACACCTCTGTGTATGTACATCTGAGATATACACACCTCTCAGTGTATGTACACTGATATACACACCTCTCAGTGTATGTACACTGATATACACACCTCTCAGTGTATGTACATTGAGATATACACACCTCTCAGTGTATGTACATTGAGATATACACACCTCTCAGTGTATGTACATTGAGATATACACACCTCTCAGTGTATGTACATTGAGATATACACACCTCTCAGTGTATGTACATTGAGATATACACACCTCTCAGTGTATGTACATCTGAGATATACACTCCTCTCAGTGTATGTACATTGAGATATACACTCCTCTCAGTGTATGTACATCTGAGATATACACACCTCTCAGTGTATGTACACTGATATACACACCTCTCAGTGTATGTACACTGATATACACACCTCTCAGTGTATGTACACTGATATACACACCTCTCAGTGTATGTACATCTGAGATATACACACCTCTCAGTGTATGTACATTGAGATATACACTCCTCTCAGTGTATGTACATCTGAGATATACACACCTCTCAGTGTATGTACACTGATATACACACCTCTCAGTGTATGTACATTGAGATATACACACCTCTCAGTGTATGTACATTGAGATATACACACCTCTCAGTGTATGTACATCTGAGATATACACACCTCTGTGTATGTACACTGATATATACACACCTCTCAGTGTATGTACATCTGAGATATACTCCTCTCAGTGTATGTTCACTGAGATATACACACCTCTCAGTGTATGCACACTGAGAGGTGCACATCTCGGTGTATGTGACCACAGAGATATCTTTGGGTGTATGTGACCACAGAGATATCTCTGTGTGTATGTGACCACAGAGATATCTTTGGGTGTATGTGACCACAGAGATATCTCTGGGTGTATGTGACCACAGAGATATCTCTGGGTGTATGTGACCACAGAGATATCTCTGGGTGTATGTGACCACAGAGATATCTCTGGGTGTATGTGCCCTCGGATATACACACCACTGGGTGTATATATCCTTGTAGCAGTTTAAGTCAGGTTAAACTATACACAGTGCAACGTTAGCAAATATAAACGCCCTGACTCACGAAATCGTAATGACACGATTGCAAACAAACCGTACCACGGGAGGGGTTTGAACCCGCGACCAGCTAGCTGGCCCAGAGGCTAACGAGGCGGTCTGGAGTTTTGAGACTCCTTGATGGCGGGTTCAAATCCCACCCATGGCATGGTTTATAAGCGCTTGTTTGGACAAACTGCGACCAAACATCTGAAGATCACTATACAACTCTGTATTAGGTATTTCGTGAGAAAACGAACGTTTTATTTGCGTGACATCGCGTGTACTCACAGAACACTATAGAACTCGGTGTGTTTGGACTTACAAGTAATGTTTTATCTGGTGCCTCTCTTATCACCATGATTTGTTTTGTCATTCACATCGGTTCCTTAATGGAGCGGAACTTGATAAAACGTTTATTTTTGTAATGTTATCTGCTGGGTAGTCTGTTGAAAGGTTGGTTGATTGGTTGTTTAATGGGGTTTAAATTACATGTATATGCTTCGCTCGGGTCATTAAGGCTGCATGTCACCTGTCCGCCTCCAGTCAGAGGCGGACAGGTGACATGCAGCCTTTTTGATACCTAAAATGGGGGTTTTAAAATAAACTCTCAGCATATATATACAGTTAGAGACAAATACCTCAGGGTGTGTATATATATATATATATATATATATATATATATATATATATATATATATATATATATATATATATATATATATATATATATATATATATATATATATATATATATATAATATATATATATATATATATATATATATATATATATATATATATATATATATATATATATTTACTATATATATTGAATTCATCTTCGGGAAGTATTCGTTGTTATTGACACTTATGATTTTGGGGAAAATTTGTATAGACTTGCAATCTTCAGTAAGTTTATTTAGGCCCAGGTACACGTAAGTACAGTTATCATACATAGTGTAAATTACGTAGGATAACCTACCCCTCCCCCAAAAAAAAATGCCGATACCGATAGCTTAACCCAATTAATTTGCAGCTATAAATTGACCCAGGATAGGTAACAGAATAAAAAGTTTGATTCCTTGGATAAAAGCTCTTTATCATCACCCGAGACTCCTCTCAAAGGGGATTTGATCTACGGTGGCTGAGATAAGACTCCAGGAAAGTACTCATTGAGTCCACAGTTGATTGATAAGGGAGATAACTGGACCAAGATATTGCACGAGTCACACTTGGTTATAAACCTACCTCACTCAACACACATTGTACTCAATCTCAGTACTTAGTATTCAGTCACACTACAATAAAGTCGGTCTCAGTATTCAGTCACACTACAATAAAGTCGGTCTCAGTATTCAGTCACACTACAATAAGCGTCTTAGTATTCGTCACACTACTCAATAAAGTCGGCTTAGTATTCAGTCACACTACAATAAAGTCGTCTAGTATTCAGTCACACTACAATAAAGTCGGTCTCAGTATTCAGTCACACTACAATAAAGTCGGTCTCAGTATTCAGTCACACTACAATAAAGTCGGTCTCAGTATTCAGTCACACTACAATAAAGTCGGTCTTAGTATTCAGTCACACTACAATAAAGTCGGTCTCAGTATTCAGTCACACTACAATAAAGTCGGTCTTAGTATTCAGTCACACTACAATAAAGTCGGTCTTAGTATTCAGTCACACTACAATAAAGTCGGTCTTAGTATTCAGTCACACTACAATAAAGTCGGTCTCAGTATTCAGTCACACTACAATAAAGTCGGTCTCAGTATTCAGTCACACTACAATAAAGTCGGTCTCAGTATTCAGTCACACTACAATAAAGTCAGTCACACTCAATACACAATACATTCAGTCTCACACAATATACGGTGCACACAGCTGCGATACACTACATTCACACTCCATATACACTGCCCTTAATCTTAATACACACTGCATTAAGTAGGTGTCTCTCATGCTGACAAAGGGCTCTTGATGGCTAGGTTAGGTCAGGTTCGTCAGGAAACAGGACAAGTGTTTCCTGATGCGGGTCTTGGTCAGATGATGACCCGCCTTTGGAGCTTTTGGTCATCTGACCGAGGTCTTCCGCCGTCTTACCGGTCCACCCCTTTAAAAATTATGGTCATTTATAACCATTGTTCATTTTTTTTTTGGGGGGGGGGGCTCTTGATGTAAGGAATTTGAGCTACATTATCCTTGGATGAAGT